AATGAGTCATCAAGCCACGGAGCTGGAGGGGAGGACCGAGCCGGCCGGGAGGATAGGGGACACAGAGAGTCAAAGGATGCAGAAAGGGAGGAGAGGAGGGTTGAGGAGGCAGAATCAGGAGATTGGAGGGAGAAGGATTGAGCAGAGGGAAGAGATGATAGGATGGAAGAGGAGAGAGTAGTGGGAGAGAGAGAGCGAATGTTGCGGCGGCGCATTACCATCTGTGTAGGGGCAGAGTGAGTAGTGTGGGAGGAGAGCGAGAGAGAAAAGGAAACAAAGTAGTGGTCGGAGACATGGAGGGGAGTTGCAGTGAGATTAGTAGAAGAGCAGCATCTAGTAAAGATGAGGTCAAGCGTATTGCCTGCCTTGTGAGTAGGGGGGGACGGTGAGAGGGTGAGGTCAAAAGAGGAGAGAAGTGGAAAGAAGGAGGCAGAGAGAAATGAGTCAAATGTGGACATAGGGAGGTTGAAATCCCCCAAAACTGTGAGGGGTGAGACATCCTCAGGAAAGGAACTTATCAAGGCATCAAGCTCATTGATGAACTCTCCAAGGGAACCTGGAGGGCGGTAGATGACAAGGATATTAAGCTTAAATGGGCTAGTGACTGTGACAGCATGGAATTCAAATGAGGAGATAGACAGATGGGTTATGGGAAAAATTGAGAATGTCCACTTGGGAGAGATGAGGATTCCTGTGCCACCACCCCTCTGACCAGATGCTCTCGGGGTATGCGAGAACACATGGTCAGACGAGGAGAGAGCAGTAGGAGTAGCAGTGTTTTCAGTGGTAATCCATGTTTCCGTCAGCGCCAGGAAGTCGAGGGACTGGAGATTAGCATAGGCATACATTTCTGTATGGTGTAGAATGTCATTGTATGCTGTAGCGTTAAGATTTCCCTTCACTGGAACTAAGGGGGCCTAGCCCAAACTATGAAAAACAGCCCCAGATCATTATACCTCCTCCACCAAACTTTACAGTTGGCACTATGCATTGGGGCAGGTAGCGTTCTCTTGGCATCCTCCAAACCCAGATTTGTCCATCGGATTGCCAGATGGTGAAGCGTGATTCATCACTCCAGAGAACGTGTTTCCACTGCTCCAGAGTCCAATGGCGGTGAGCTTTACACCACTCCAGCCAACGCTTGGCATTGCGCATGGTGATCTTAGGCTTGTGTGCGGCTGCTCGGCCATGGAAAACCATTTCATGAAGCTCCCGACGAACAGTTATTGTGCTGACGTTGCTTCCAGAGGCAGTTTGGAACTCGGTAGTGAGTGTTGCAACTGAGGACAGGCAGTCCCGTTCTGTGAGCTTGTGTGGCCTACCACTTCGCGGCTGAGCCGTTGTTGCTCCTAGATGTTTCCCCTTCACAATAACAGCACTTACAGTTGACCGGGGCAGCTCTAGCAGGGCAGAAATTTCACCAACTGACTTGCTGGAAAGGTGGCGTCCTATGACAGTGCCACTTTAAAAGTCACTGAGCTCTTCAATAAGGCCATTTTACTGCCAATGTTTGTCTATGGAGATTGCGTGGCTGTGTGCTCAATTTTATACACCTGTCAGCAACAAGCTCGGTGAATGTATCAAGTGTAAATGCATTGAGCTGTCTATAAATGAATTTGTAACACATACCAGTAACTCATTATCAAGATGTCTTGCTGGAATGTAGCCTACAAGACACAAGCTGTAGCTAGTTCAACAAAGACAGTGTGTTGTGTTGTGGAGGTGCTTGGAGTGATGCTTATGGTGAGTAGTTATGCAGTTACTGATCGATTAGATTTTTAAATGAATGTCTATATCTGATGCAGGATGGACATGTGAACAGTCCAGTTGGTGAGTATAAATACCAAACTATACATTAGCAAAATTAAATGGTTATTTACCTTTTCACCCATATGAATGTATGTGCGCTGTACACGTAAATACATAGATCTTTTTATTTTACGCTGTCTGTTTGATAGACCGTCTCACAGTATCCTACAGCCGAAGCAGGGGTCCAGGTCAGCATTTTAACAAAGGTAACATCATCATCATTACTATTCACATACCTGTACATCACACTACCCATGTAATGTAACTTGGAGTGAGCTGAAAACATTGTTTCCTACAGTCAGTATATGAGCCTTTTTGAAGTGGTATTGTGATTGACTGTCTGTCTGTGTTCGTAGTCAGCACCAAAGCAAAGGTCCGTTTCCACATATAGTACTGGTCAAAAGTTTGGACACGCCTACTCATTTCAGGGGTTTTCTTTATTTTGACATCAAAACTAAGAAATATCACATGGAATCATGTAGTAACCAAAAAAGTGTTAAACAAATCAAAATATATTTTATATTTGAGATTCTTGTTAAAAGTTAATTTGTGGAATTTCTTTCCTTCTTAATGCGTTTGAGCCAATCAGTTGTGTTGTAACAAGGTAGGGGTGGTATACAGAAGATAGCCCTATTTGGTAAAAGACCAAGTCCATATTAGGGCAAGAACAGCTCAAATAAGCAAAGAGAAACGACAGTCCATCGTTACTTTAAGACATGAAGGTCAGTCAATACGGAAAATGTGTGCATTCGCAAAAACCATCAAACGCTATGATGAAACTGGCTCTCATGAGGACCGCCACAGGAAAGGAAGACCCAGAGTTACCTCTGCTGCAGAGAATAAGTTCATTAGAGTTACCAGCCTCAGAAATTGCAGCCCAAATAAATGCTTCACAGAGTTCAAGTAACAGACACATCTCAACATCAACTGTTCAGAGGAGACTGCGTGAATCAGGCCTTCATGGTCGAAGAAACCACTACTGAAGGACACCAATAATTTGAAGAGACTTGCTTGGGCCAAGAAACACGAGCAATGGACATTAGACCGGTGGAAATCTGTCCTTTTGTCTGATGAGTCCAAATTGGAGATTTTTGGTTCCAACCACCGTGTCTTTGTGAGATGCAGAGTAGGTGAACGGATGATCTCCGCAAGTGTAGTTCCCACCGTGAAGCATGGAGGACGAGGTGTGATGGTGGGGGTGCTTTGCTGGTGACACTGTCAGTGATTTATTTAGAATTCAAGGCACACTTAACCAGCATGGCTACCACAGCATTCTGCAGCAATACGCCATCCCATCTGGTTTGCGCTTAGTGGGACTATCATTTGTTTTTCAACAGGACAATGAGCCAACACACCTCCAGGCTGTGTAAGGGCTATTTGACCAAGAAGGAGAGCGATGGAGTGCTGCATCAGATGACCTGGCCTCCACAATCACCCGACCTCAACCCAATTGAGATGGTTTGGGATGAGTTGGACCGCAGAGTGAAGGAAAAGCAGCCAACAAGTGCTCAGCATATGTGGGAACTCCTTCAAGACAGTTGGAAAAGCATTCCAGGTGAAGCTGGTTGAGAAAATGCCAAGAGTGTGCAAAGCTGTCATCAAGGCAAAGAGTGGCTACTTTGAAGAATCTCAAATATAACATTTATTTGGATTTGTTTAACACTTTTTTGGTTATAACATGATTCCATATGTGTTATTTCATAGTTTTGATGTCTTCACTATTATTCTAAGATGTAGAAAATAGTACAAATAAAGAAAAACCCTGGAATGAGGAAGTGTGTGCAAAACTTTGACTGGTACTGTATGTGTTTTGATCAGGTTAGAGAAGAGGAATAAGGAGAGACTGAAACAGAAGATGCTGCGCTCAGTGGTCAAACAGACTAGAGGAGCAGATTTCCGACTGAGGGCCGGACCCCACATGGACACAGTAAGAAGCGAAACATGCTTTGTGTCTATTTTCTCACATAATCAATACATTAACACTTTATTTGTTTGAAAGTATAAAACATCTATGTTGAGTTTTTGTATACATGCTGATCTCATTTGAGTTGATTGCTGTCACAGTATTTGTCTATAAATTAAAAGTAAATGCTATTCAATGAATGAGCATTGACATCGGATTCTGCGTGAACGGGAAGAAAAAACTAGCAGAGGATGGTTTCGATCCATCGACCTCTGGGTTATGGGCCCAGCACGCTTCCGCTGCGCCACTCTGCTGCCTATGAAAGTGCAACGCAGTTACATTTATAGATCTAGCGAGATACGCCCACACTGTATGACAGGAATGCGAAAGTGAGGGTGCACTCGGTGCGGTAGTCACTAGCTACCGCAACTGTGCAATAAAATCTACAAACGCTATGCGGCCGTGTACAGTATGAGAAATTTGAACATTTAACTTCTTTACGTATTAAGTTAGGCTGAATCAGGCTAGTGTCAATCCCTGACACTTTCGCATTCCAATGAACGTAGCTAGCTGCATATTTGCCACCACTATTTATCAAACAAGACATAAGTGTTGTTAAGTTTCGTGCAAACTCCACGATTCGTTTATTGCTCTCATATTGCGTACGATTCAGTAAAATACGACCACGAAGGGACTCGAACCCTCAATCTTCTGATCCGAAGTCAGACGCCTTATCCATTAGGCCACGCGGTCTATGTAGATAGAAAGTTCAATTTCGGATAACTAAAGGTTACTACTATTGAACATGGAATTAAAGCTTGTTTAATATCAAGATAGAAATCACGCCTTTAGGAGATGTCATGGCGACCTTGACTAGCTGAGCTCATGCGCAGAAACACGTAATCGGGTCTAATGGTCGTATCGCGCCGTCTTCAGTGGCACTCCTTCGATATAAAGCAGTTCTATCGAAAATTAAAACGTGTCAGTTTGTCACTTTCACGAGGTTGGAGTAATAACATGTTCAGCTACTTAAGACATTAGCCTAGAAAATGTAACAACTAAGGAATAATTGTTCTATTTCTCATTGACTTCTCAAACCCCAAACCCTGGTCTGTTCTGCCGAGTCTGCTTCGCAAAAGCGTTCACGGAAATCTCGCGATGTTGGGCCTCTGGGTTTACAAACTCTGATTGAATATTTTTTTTCTTCTGCTCAGTGGCTCGCTGTGCTGGAGTGAGTGTGTGCAGCTAAACACTGTAAATATAACTAAAGACGGGTGAAATAATATAGTTATATGCCGTTGGCCTGGTCAATAGCGCCTCTTGGTGGAAGGCTCGGGGATCGTCGGGGCGGGTGAATGAAAATCGGACAAACTTGACCCTGTGTGTGGCTCCACCAGCCAATTAATCAATTAATTAACCATCAATATACATTTTCAGAGTAATATCACAAAATCCCCAAAGAGACATATTTTCATTCCAATGCTTTAATTGCACAGAGCAGACAAGTTAGTCAATGATACAGAGTGCTACAACAATAATGACTTTTAGTTCAATGAGAGAGAGAGCTACTGTGGCTTACTACAATGACAAAACCTGTGGTGCCGAAGGCGAACTAATATGCTCATTCATCTGAATGATATAAAGGTCGAGTAGATAAAGAAAAACCAAATATGACTTGATTTTCATTCTAAAGATATAGCCTATCAATCATTAATACAATCACATATAGGCACCATGGCAGATAAGTGCTGTTATTATGAATGAATGCTCACAGACACACACAATAATGGAATAAATACACAAGCAATAATAAGAAATGAGGCGGCAGACTTTTTTTTTTTTTTTAAGTGCAATCAGTAAAACATTACAGTGCAGAGAAAGCCAAGGAGCCTTCAAAGGACAGAGTCAGAATGTTCCATTTTGGAATACTGAAGGATGGATGTCCACTACTGAGTGAGTCCCCATTGGGAAGGGTGGACATGTAAACTGCTTCATTTTGTTGTCTCTTATTAGAATATAGAACATTTTATTTTACCATTGCTATCACACAGTGTCATTATCTCCTTGCACTGAAGAGCTTCAGGCTGTGCAGGCTTTTTGTCCCAGCCCAGCAGTATACCTGAATGCTGGGCTGGGACAAAAGCCTGCACAGAACATAGAGAAATAATGGAAAGGTAAAACACGTAATAATAAAACTATATTTCCTGTATACTGCAGGTTTTCCCATGTGGTATGGCATTACAATGTGAGTATTTCACATACATAAGTAAAAGTATTGCAACGTACACTATAACATTCATGATAATAAGGAAAGGTGGTTGGAGTTATGGACTAGCACCATGCTAAAGTGGCTAATGCCTCAAATGTTTACCCTTGGCTGGACGCGGGGCGCAACATCAGGAAGTTGCATTAGCCACTCTAGCATGGTGGTGGAAAATGGTGTTTCATAAAGAAAGTACGCATATTTTCCTGTTTTTTTTCTCCACCTTCTGGCCATTAAATCGATGTCCATGTCCAACAAGTTGTGGGTGACAGTTATCATACCTGTGTAACCTGTGTAACGGTAGGAAAAGGCAGCTGAAAGAATGTGTTAGATATCACCGGTAAAGGTAGGCAGGTGCTAATAGCATATAGCATTAGTAGTAGATTGGTTTAAGTAGCATATTGTTCAATTGTTATCTACACTGCTCAAAAAAATAAAGGGAACACTTAAACAACACAATGTAACTCCAAGTCAATCACACTTCTGTGAAATCAAACTGTCCACTTAGGAAGAAACACTGATTGACAATACATTTCACATGCTGTTGTGCAAATGGAATAGACAACAGGTGGAAATTATAGGCAATTAGCAAGACACCCCCAATAAAGGACTGGTTTTGCAGGTGGTGACCACAGACCACTTCTCAGTTCCTATGCTTCCTGGCTGATGTTTTGGTCACTTTTGAATGCTGGCGGTGCTTTCACTCTAGTGGTAGCATGAGACGGAGTCTACAACCCACACAAGTGGCTCAGGTAGTGCAGCTCATCCAGGATGGCACATCAATGCGAGCTGTGGCAAGAAGATTTGCTGTGTCTGTCAGCGTAGTGTCCAGAGCATGGAGGCGCTACCAGGAGACAGGCCAGTACATCAGGAGATGTGGAGGAGGCCGTAGGAGGGCAACAACCCAGCAGCAGGAATGCTACCTCCGCCTTTGTGCAAGGAGGAGCAGGAGGAGCACTGCCAGAGCCCTGCAAAATGACCTCCAGCAGGCCACAAATGTGCATGTGTCTGCTCAAATGGTCAGAAACAGACTCCATGAGGGTGGTATGAGGGCCCGACGTCCACAGGTGGGGGTTGTGCTTACAGCCCAACACCGTGCAGGCCGTTTGGCATTTGCCAGAGAACACCAAGATTGGCAAATTCGCCACTGGCGACCTGTGCTCTTCACAGATGAAAGCAGGTTCACACTGAGCACGTGACAGACGTGACAGAGTCTGGAGACGCCGTGGAGAACGTTCTGCTGCCTGCAACATCCTCCAGCATGACCGGTTTGGCGGTGGGTCAGTCATGGTGTGGGGTGGCATTTCTTTGGGGGGCCGCACAGCCCTCCATGTGCTCGCCAGAGGTAGCCTGACTGCCATTAGGTACCGAGATGAGATCCTCAGACCCCTTGTGAGACCATATGCTGGTGCGGTTGGCCCTGGGTTCCTCCTAATGCAAGACAATGCTAGACCTCATGTGGCTGGAGTGTGTCAGCAGTTCCTGCAAGAGGAAGGCATTGATGCTATGGACCGCCCGTTCCCCAGACCTGAATCCAATTGAGCACATCTGGGACATCATGTCTCGCTCCATCCACCAACGCCACGTTGCACCACAGACTGTCCAGGAGTTGGCGGATGCTTTAGTCCAGGTCTGGGAGGAGATCCCTCAGGAGACCATCCGCCACCTCATCAGGAGCATGCCCAGGCGTTGTAGGGAGGTCATACAGGCACGTGGAGGCCACACACACTACTGAGCCTCATTTTGACTTGTTTTAAGGACATTACATAAAAGTTGGATCAGCCTGTAGTGTGGTTTTCCACTTTAATTTTGAGGGTGACTCCAAATCCAGACCTCCATGGGTTGATACATTTGATTTCCATTGATAATTTTTGTGTGATTTTGTTGTCAGCACATTCAACTATGTAAAGAAAAAAGTATTTAATAAGATTATTTCATTCATTCAGATCTAGGATGTGTTATTTTAGTGTTCCCTTTATTTTTTTGAGCAGTGTAGTAAAAGAAGCAGACCACAGGAGGTTCCTTAGTTGGGGAGAACCGGCGTGTTCTAATGACTGGAGCGGAATCAGTGGAATGGTAACAAATACATCAAACACATGGTTTCCATGGTTTCCAGTAGTTTGATGCCATTCCATTTGCGCCGTTCCGGCCATTATTATGAGCCGTTCTTCCATCAGTAGCCTCTTGTGAAGCAGAAGGAGACCAGACCCCATACAGAAGCCTACTCATGAGTACTACACATCGGTAGAGTATGAGGCAAGTTCCTCCTCTAATCTCAAGCGCTTTGAGCATGGAAAAAGCACTGCACCACCAAACCAATCCAGTATCATCATTTATTTGCTGGACTTGCCAAACTTGCTGGCTTTGGGGGATTTGGTAGCTTTGATGTCCATCTTGGTCTTCTGAATACGAGAGAAGATCTCCTTGAACAGAGCTTTGTACTCTGGCGTGTTCTGGCCCAGCCGTTTATCCACCGCCTCCACCTGCTTACTGATGCTCTCCATGGCCTCGGGGGTGGAGGGGGACTGGGTGGGGGAGGGCGGGGGTGCAGGGGTGGGGCCCATGGCACAGTCCTTCATGGAGGGGTCCCTGGAAACGGGGCGCGAGGTCTGCACCCCCGCGTGGCACATGGACTCCTCGTGGCGCCGGCACTTCCCTAACAGCTCCTCGTACTTCTCCAGCAGAGCGTGGTACTGCTCGTCCACCTCCCTCAGGATGGACATCCCTCTCTTACGGACGCTGTTGGCGTGGATGGCGTAGCTCCCTCTTCTCTTCCCGGACGCGTCCCTGGCCACGATGGCGTTCAGCGCCGTGTCGCTGCAGCTCTTCCTGACGGGGCTGGAGTCAGGTAACGACTCTCCGCCTAAGCCTCTTCCCCCCTCGCCCTGCTCCCCTCGTCCTCCACCCACCTCTCCCCCCTCCCCCTCCAGGGTGTCTGTTTCGGGGGTGTTGTTGAGGAGGGTCTGGGTGAAGCCCACGCCGTCGTCCTCGCTGCTCAGGAGGAGGGTCCTCGCCCGTCGGAGCTGCTGGAGTTCCTGGAGCTCTGCCTCTAGTTCACGAACCCGTGCCTGGCAGCTCTCCGCACCCTGTCAATCAATCAATGAGTCAATGAATCAATCAGTCAGTCAGACAGTCAATAAACCAATCACTTAATATTTTTATTCTCCCAGAAAAAAGGGAGTTAGGAGCCCTGCTATATTTAAGTTAGGAACAAGTATCAGTATCACTCATTGGATTGAACAGACTTAGTAGAACATGCAACCACTAAAAAAATGGAGGCACTCCTTTTGGAATGAAGATTAAATGGAGTTCAGATAGGAGTGATTCTGACCAGCACACGTGACTCCAGACGAGAAAACTCCCCCAGGAGGACGTGACACTCTCTCTCCGCCCCCTCCCTGCGACCCCGCTCCGCCCTCACGGCAGAGCGCAGCGCCGACACCGCCTCTCTCAGACGCTCGTTCTCCTCCTCTGCTGGCTGGCGCTTCGACTCTGAGGTGAAGCTGTCTGAGCGGCCCACCACAAACCCATCCTCATACCTGGCGGACAGACAGACATAGAGAGACACACAGTTACACACAATATCAGCTAAGTTAAGCCGGGAGGACAAAACCCTAACATCACTGAGCCTCTCACATTAAACCACCGTCTTTCCTGTCGTTTGTTTTGTCTTGCCGACTAAGCGATGTGACATAGACGGGCGTCACACACTACAAGATTCTTCACTTCGTCGTGAGGATTCTCGATACCACCACACTGTCTGGCGAAAACAATGACGTGATTAGATTGTTAACATAGCTAGAACAAAGCAGCCTCAAACGTTTTCAGTCAGACATTCACACCTGCCACACAGAGTTGAAATATTTAGCCAACATTTTGAGTTGAACAACATTGCTTGTGCACTTCAGCGCTGTAACGATTTGACACTTTGGTTAAAAGGCAAGTACAAACGCATACTAGTACTGGTCATCGTTCCTGCTCAGGAGTCTACACATTCTGGGTCATGGGAAACAACGTCATCATCTCACTGGCTTCTTCTCTGGCGAGCTCTAATTGGCTACTGCTGATCACCGTTCTCAACTTGTCGTTGTACATCGCACACTACAAGAACATTGCGGAATTTGTGCCGATAAAATTAAACGTTTGAAAATATCGGGACATCTGATGCTGCTCAAAGATGGGATCGGTAGCCCTCAGATTGTGTCTCTGACCCGCTCACATTAAACGAGCGTCGGTGAAGGCCGCGCGCCCCGAGTAGGCAACGACATGGGGATTCTGTCTCCGATCTCAAAACCTTGTCTGGGACAGATAAATCGGGGCCAAAATCGTGTAGTGTACACCCGGCTTTACATGTACCTGCCGCAGACAGACAAGCGCAATATGAGTCAAGCATCCTCCTACAAAGCTCCTCTAGAGACCTTGACATCCAATAACCAAAGATGTGAGTGTGATTGCTATGAGCCCTCACTTGGGTGCAGTGCAGAGTTCCCTGAGGCAGGGGAAGGAGGCGATGGTCTTGCGTCGTTCCCTCTTCTCCCTCCGGACCCTGAGTTGCTCCAGGGAGTGGAGCTGTTCCACCTGCCCAGAGAGAGACTCCACCTGGGTCTGCAGGGTCTCGATGGTCCCTGTCAACCTGGGAGAACCAGGGAAAAGAGAAAAGGGTTAGTATCGTGTACGCGCGTGCGTGTGACACTGTGCATCCGTCCAGCTCACCTCTCTATCTTGTGTTGCGAGGCCTTGCTGTCCAGTATTAGGGAATGGTTGGTGAGCTCTAGTTCTCTGGCTGTCCCGTCTAGCTGCTCGTACACCTTAGCATGCTGCTCATTCATAGCCCTCAGCACCTCCAGCTGCTTGGCCAGGTACTGCACAGAGAGACATACAGTATGTTTATATCCTGTACACTCATATACATACACACTACCGTTCAAAAGTTTGGGGTGACTTAGACATTTCCTTGTTTTCGAAAAAAAAGCAATTTTTTTTTGTCCATTAAAATAACATCAAATTGATCGGAAATACAGTGTAGACATTGTTAATGTTGTAAATGGCTATTGTAGCTGGAAACGGCTGATTTTTTATGGAATATCTACATAGGCGTACAGAGGCCCATTATCAGCAACCATCAGTCCTGTGTTCCAATGGCATGTTGTGTTTGCTAATCCAAGTTTATCATTAGAAAACCCTTTTGCAATTATGTTAGCACAGCTGAAAACTGTTGTGCTGATTAAAGAAGCAATAAAACTGACCTTCTTGAGAATAGTTGAGTATCTGGAGCATCAGCAATTGTGGGTTCGATTACAGGCTCAAAATGTCCAGAAACAAATCACTTTCTTCTGAAACTCATCAGTCTATTCTTGTTCTGAGAAATGAAGGCTATTCCATGCGAGAAATTGCCAAGAAACTGAAGATCTCGTACAACGCTGTGTACTACTCCCTTCACAGAACAGCGTTGTACGAGATCTTCAGTTTCTTGGCAATTTCTCGCATGGAATAGCCTTCATTTCTCAGAACAAGAATAGACTGACGAGTTTTGGAAGAAAGTTATTTGTTTCTGGACATTTTGAGCCTGTAATCGAACCCACAATTGCTGATGCTCCAGATACTCAACTATTCTCAAGAAGGTCAGTTTTATTGCTTCTTTAATCAGCACAACAGTTTTCAGCTGTGCTAACATAATTACAAAAGGGTTTTCTAATGATAAACCCTGAGGTATTAGGTAGTCCACAGCCTGATGGCCTTAACCCACCCACCACAGCAGGGAAGAGCCAACATCTTACATCACCTGCTTAGTCAACAGATAGATTGTTATCCAATCTACACCTAACTTATGGGTAGAGGTTACGTTAGAGTTTAGACTGTTGAGATGTGGGCAGGGTTTGGAACTGGTTCAGGGAACAGAACCGAAAACCGGAAAATAACATCATTTTACGAGGAACAGAACCAGAACAAAAGTGATCTATACTGTCCCGGAACAGAACCTTCATTTTAAAAGCATGGGAACCGGTTAATAATGTACTTTTACATTCTGCACGTTTTTTTTCCAGTCCCACAAAAAAAACGCAACAAAACACCTATGCAAAGCCCTCCCTGTCACTCTGAAACGTATCCCAGTGCCTGCCTGCCTGCCTGCCCGCCCGCTGAAAATATTTCCCAGTGTGTGTAGGCTACCTGCCTCTCCCCCTCCATCCGAAGCATACATAGTCTACTGTAACTACTGATGTATAGGCGTGATACAGAAACTAGGGAGAGAAGAATGGATTAACCTTTTCAATGCTGGTTAAGGATACTACAGTTATCACGTTTCACGTTTGGATTTATTATCTACAGAAAGGTAAGACGTATTTTAATGTTTATTCTGGTGCCGCTCTGCACACACAAGCTAGTTTGTTAGCTAGCTCTGGTTTAGCTCTCGAAAACTCTAGGCGGCATTATGTGTAACGTAACTGAGAGTCGTGACCAAGGGCTAGCTCTGGTCCAACGTTGGTTAAAGCCAACTCTCTCAAGATCAAACACATTCAAAGTTCCTTCATAGAAGCCGCTCCTCCGTAGGCATAATTCTGTGGGGCTAATTCAGATCATGTCTGTGATAACAACAAGAGGCCCAGCTCTTCATGCCCAGCACTCTCCTCATCCGCAAAGTTTCAATGCATGTCCATAGCTTGCCCGCTCCATAGCAAGCGGCTCTATCCATTGGTAAAGTAATTTAATGTCGAGCTAACTGTAAAGAAAAAACAGAAAGGAAACTTTTTTGGGGTTTGAACCGGTTTAGAACCTTATTTTGCTTGTCGGATCAGTGGAACGGATTGAAAAAAAAAAATGGTTCTGTTCATAACGAAACGATTGGAAAATAATTTTGGTTATAACCCCTGGATGTGGGTAGAGGTTACGTTAAGAGTTTAGACTACTTGAGATGCATCCATGGAGCTTTTGAGACTTGGCCCTCCTACCTCGATTTCCTGCACCTGTTCCTCATTGGTGATGTATATCTGCTGTAGAGAATCCTCCAGCTCTTTGTTCCTCTCCAACAGAGTCTTCCCAAGCTCTGCTGCCAGATGGAGGTCTAGAGAGAGAGTGGGAGGGAGGGAGGGGGGAGAGAGAGGTGGAGAGAGATGGAGGGGGACGGAAGGAGGAAGAGAGAGAGGGAGGGAGGGAGGGAGGTGGAGAGAGATGGAGGGGGGTGGAAGGTGGGAGAGAGAGGGGGGTGGAGGGAGAGGAGAGGGGGAGAGATAGTTTAGGGATGGAGATGGCCATGGGAGACGGAGAGGGAAACAGGTTTGAGGGAGCGAGGGGGGAGAGAAAGAGATTTGACGTTTTGAGAGTAACAAACTGTCTAAATAAGGTAGCATCAGGAACAGATTTTCCTTCGCTAGTCCAAAGCTATGATGCCAGTGAAAATACTAAAAGGAGTTTTTAGGTTTACACTCGTCCCTATGACAGCCACAGTAGAAAGCATTGTTCACACTGTAACATGCTAATTCACTTTGGAATACATCACAGTTCTATGTACCAGTAGGCTCCTAAGAGGGTCTGCAAACAGAACAATCAAACGTTAAAACATTCTACCTCTTCATTCCACCTGAGATACACAGAGATGAACAAGCTCATTCTAGAGAGAAAGAGAGGGAACCAAAGAAAGAAGGAGTGAGAGATACAGATAAAGGGAGGATTCGAGAGAGAGAGAGAGAATGCTAGAAAGACCAAGTCTCTCCCTAAATATTTATCTCCCCTACTTTGACCCTTGTATCTCTGTCAGTGACGGTCTGAGATGTTTTTGACCCTTGTATCTCTGTCAGTGACGGTCTGAGATGTTTTTGACCCTTGTATCTCTGTCAGTGACGGTCTGAGATGTTTTGACCCTTGTATCTCTGTCAGTGACGGTCTGAGATGTTTTGACCCTTGTATCTCTGTCAGTGACGGTCTGAGATGTTTTGACCCTTGTATCTCTGTCAGTGACGGTCTGAGATGTTTTGACCCTTGTATCTCTGTCAGTGACGGTCTGAGTTGTTTTGACCCTTGTATCTCTGTCAGTGAAGGTCTGAGATGTTATGACCCTTGTATCTCTGTCAGTGAAGGTCTGAGATGTTATGACCCTTGTATCTCTGTCAGTGACGGTCTGAGATGTTATGACCCTTGTATCTCTGTCAGTGAAGGTCTGAGATGTTCTGACCCTTGTATCTCTGTCAGTGACGGTCTGAGATGTTATGACCCTTGTATCTCTGTCAGTGACGGTCTGAGATGTTCTGACCCTTGTATCTCTGTCAGTGACGGTCTGAGATGTTTTGACCCTTGTATCTCTGTCAGTGACGGTCTGAGATGTTCTGACCCTTGTATCTCTGTCAGTGACGGTCTGAGATGTTTTGACCCTTGTATCTCTGTCAGTGACGGTCTGAGATGTTCTGACCATTGTATCTCTGTCAGTGACGGTCTGAGATGTTTTGACCCTTGTATCTCTGTCAGTGACGGTCTGAGATGTTCTGACCCTTGTATCTCTGTCAGTGACGGTCTGAGATGTTTTGACCCTTGTATCTCTGTCAGTGACGGTCTGAGATGTTCTGACCCTTGTATCTCTGTCAGTGACGGTCTGAGATGTTCTGATCCTTGTATCTCTGTCAGTGACGGTCTGAGATGTTATGACCCTTGTATCTCTGTCAGTGACGGTCTGAGATGTTCTGACCCTTGTATCTCTGTCAGTGACAGTCTGAGATGTTTTGACCCTTGTATCTCTGTCAGTGACAGTCTGAGATGTTCTGATCCTTGTATCTCTGTCAGTGACAGTCTGAGATGTTATGACCCTTGTATCTCTGTCAGTGACGGTCTGAGATGTTCTGATCCTTGTATCTCTGTCAGTGATGGTCTGAGATGTTATGACCCTTGTATCTCTGTCAGTGACGGTCTGAGATGTTATGACCCTTGTATCTCTGTCAGTGACGGTCTGAGATGTTCTGACCCTTGTATCTCTGTCAGTGACGGTCTGAGATGTTCTGACCCTTGTATCTCTGTCAGTGACAGTCTGAGATGTTTTGACCCTTGTATCTCTGTCAGTGAAGGTCTGAGATGTTATGACCCTTGTATCTCTGTCAGTGACGGTCTGAGATGTTCTGATCCTTGTATCTCTGTCAGTGACGGTCTGAGATGTTCTGATCCTTGTATCTCTGTCAGTGACAGTCTGAGATGTTTTGACCCTTGTATCTCTGTCAGTGACGGTCTGAGATGTTTTTGACCCTTGTATCTCTGTCAGTGACGGTCTGAGATGTTTTGACCCTTGTATCTCTGTCAGTGACGGTCTGAGATGTTCTGACCCTTGTATCTCTGTCAGTGACGGTCTGAGATGTTCTGATCCTTGTATCTCTGTCAGTGACGGTCTGAGATGTTCTGATCCTTGTATCTCTGTCAGTGACGGTCTGAGATGTTCTGATCCTTGTATCTCTGTCAGTGACGGTCTGAGATGTTCTGACCCTTGTATCTCTGTCAGTGACGGTCTGAGATGTTCTGACCCTTGTATCTCTGTCAGTGACGGTCTGAGATGTTCTGACCCTTGTATCTCTGTCAGTGACGGTCTGAGATGTTCTGACCCTTGTATCTCTGTCAGTGACGGTCTGAGATGTTCTGATCCTTGTATCTCTGTCAGTGACGGTCTGAGATGTTCTGACCCTTGTATCTCTGTCAGTGACGGTCTGAGATGTTTTGACCCTTGTATCTCTGTCAGTGACGGTCTGAGATGTTCTGACCCTTGTATCTCTGTCAGTGACGGTCTGAGATGTTCTGACCCTTGTATCTCTGTCAGTGACGGTCTGAGATGTTCTGATCCTTGTATCTCTGTCAGTGACGGTCTGAGATGTGTGCCAAGATCATCAGAAGACAAGACACCACGTCTCCACAAAGTCTATATATATTATGCAGTATCTCTCTCTGCAGTAGGGTGGAGGGGATGTATATAGTAGAAAGTGACAGGATATGAAATTGCTGTTAGATTATGCATTTTATTCACATGCAAACAGAGTGTGGGCTCGAATAAAAAAATGTGTAGTCATGTACACCATGGAACAGGATTGAAGAACACTGTTCTAGTAATGAAGCAATAGAAGGTGATGTGGGCCATTAGGACCAAACAGGTGTGGAAGGCACTGTATTCTGCCTTCAGAGTGAATCAGAAGGATTCACAGTCTATATTTTCAGGTCTGACTCAGCAGCGAGATACGTTTTGCGTTTTGGGGACCTGTGGTCATATCTGATAGGGAAAACAAACAACTCAATGGAAACACCATCACTCTCATTGTAGAGACTGAGCTGACAGCTAAACTCTTGAGGTTGATAGTGATGGACACGTGTGGTACTCTTCTTTAAGGGGAATTTTCCCCAAAAAAAAAAAGGGGAAATTTTCCCCCAAAAAAAACCCGGGGGTTTTTTTTTCCCCCCAAAAAAAGGGGGGGAAAATTTCCCCCAAAAAAAAAAAAAGGGGGGGGGAAAAACCCCCCCAAAGGAGGGTTTTTTTTTTGGGGGGGGGAAAAGTTTTTTCCCGAAAAAAAAAAGGGGGAAGGTTTCCAAAAAAAAAAAAAGGGGGGGCCCCGGGGGGCCCCCCCCAAAAAAAACAGAAAGGGGCCCCCCCAAAAAAAAAGGGGGGGGGAAAGAAAGGGGGGGTTTCCCAAAAAAAAGGCGGAAAAAGGGGGGGCCCCCCCCTTTTTTTTTTTCCCCAAAAAAAAAGGGGGGGCCCCAAAAAAATTTAAAAAAGGAAAAAAAAAGGGGGTTTCCCCGGGAAAAACAGGGGGGGGGGAAAAAATTTTTTTTGGGGGGAAAAAAATTTTTTAAAACCCCCAAAAAAAAAGGGAAAAGGGGGTTTTTTTTTTGGGGGGGCCGGGGGGAAAAAATTTCAAAAAAAAAAACCAAAACCCCGGGGGAAAAAAACCCGGAAAAAAAAAGGGGGGGAAAAACAAAAAACCAAAGGGAAAAACAAGGGGAAAAAAAAAAAAAAAAAACCCCAAAAAAAAAACACAAAAAAAAAAAAGGGAAAAAAAAAAGGGGGGAAAAAACCCCCACAAAAAAAAAAACCCCCCAAAAAAACACACCCCCCCCAAAAAAAAAAAAACCCCCAAAACCCAACACAAAACCCCCCCAAAAAAACCCCAAAACAAACCCCCCCAAAAAACCCCCCCCCGGCCCCCAAACACACACACCCCAAAAACCACCCCCCCCCCCCCAAAAAAAAACCCCCCCCCCCCCTTTAAAACCCAAAAAAAAACCCCCCCCCCCCCCCCAAAAAAAAACCCCCCCCCCCCCCCCCAAAAAAAAACCCCCCCCCCACCCCCCCCCCAATCCCCCCCACCCCCCCCCCCCCCCCCCCTTAAACCCCCCCACCCCCCAAAAACCCCCCCCCCCCCTTCCCACCCACACCCCCCAAAAAAAAACCCCACCCCCAAAAAAAAAAAACCCCCAAACAAAAAAACCCCCCCAAAAATTTTTAAAAAAAACCCCGTTAAAAAAACCCCCCCTTTTTTTTTTTTTTTTCCCCTTTTTTCCCCTTTCCCCCAAAAAACCCGGGGGCCCCCCCCTTTTTTAAAAAAAGGGGGGGGGCCCCCCCCGGGCCCCCCGGGGGCCCCCCCCCTTTTCCCAAAATTTTAACCTTGGGGGAAAACCATTTAAATTTTAAAGGGGGGTTTGGGGGTTTTTTTTTTTAAAAAAAATTTTTTCCCTTAATGTTTTTTTTAAAAAAAATGAAAATTTTTTAAAAAAAATTTAAAAAAAAAAAAAAAAACCCCCTTTTTAAAAAAAAAAATTTTTTCCCCGGTTTAAAATTTTCCCCGCCCCGGGGGGAAGGGGGGTTTTTTTAAAAGGAAAAAAAGGGTTTTCAAATTTTTGGGGGAAAAAGGGCCTTTTAGAATGGGGGGGTTTTGGAATGGGGGGGGGGGGGTTTTTAAAAACCAAAGGGTTTTAAAAAAAAAGGGTTTTAAAAAAGGGGTTTAAAAAAAAAGGGGAAAATTTTTGAAGGGGGGGGGGGGGGGGAAAAAAAAAAAAAAAAAATTTTTTAAAAAAAATTTTCCAAAAAACCCGGGAAAAAAAAAAACCCTTTTTAAAAAAATTTAAAAAAAAAAAAAAAAAACATGAAAAACGGTTTGGTACAAGCAGAGGTGCCCATAGGAGGCACAGGGGCACATGCCCCCTCAGATTTGATGTGTTTTAAAACAATAAAAAAAAATATATATATATATTAATTTTCAATTATAAAAAAACGAAGTGAAATCGATTGTACACTTGATTCATTAATGTATACATGGCTGTCTCTGAAAACTGTTGACGTAAAAAAAATGATTATGTAACGATATTGAACTAAAACGATGCTGCACGATTGTACAGAGCAGTAGCTGAGTTTATCTGTCTGGATCAAGTGCCATTCTGTGACTTTGGCTAATACAGTATATCCTTATTTTTTTTGCCGTGGAATCTTTTTGCTGGTATCGTGACAACACTACAAGTGGTACCTCCCTCTCCCTCTCCCTCTCTCTCTCATACATCAAAACAAAGAGAGATATTTTCAGACATTAAAAATAACTAAATTCTCCTCTTGGGCAACCCAGGGCCTCAGACGATGCGGAGTACACACATGAACCAGTGATGAGCCAGAGTTGGGATGCTGGACAGCACATACGAATGCAAATTAGATGCTAAGTAGGAGAGAGAGAGAGAGAGAGAGTAGAGAGAGAGAGAGAGAGGAGAGAGAGAGAGAGAGAGAGAGAGGATCGAGAGAGATATCCTCGATAATATCTCTGCGAGATCCGATCTCGAGCTCTCCTCGCTAGCTCCTATCTCTCTCGCGCTCTACCTCGCTCTCGCTCAGCGCCTCCTCTCTCCTCTACCACTCTCTTCGCTCTTCCACTCCCCCTTCTCTGCAGCATCAAACATCCTAACCAGTACCCTCAACAGGCCACTGTCTCCAAACAAGGACACCAGGAAGTCAACTGACCCATAAAGGATGACATCACCACCCAGTGACTGAGACATAATGGAATGGATTGTATGCATTTCCTGCATGGGCTATCAGGCCAATTCTATGCTTTTCTTTTTTCATGTTTTAGCAGGATCAGTTACACTGACTGGGGGATGTCCTTTTGAGGGCCCAAGCAGGAACCCACAATGGCTGCATGGAATCCATACCGGAGGGAAACGCTTTTGTAGAGTGAAGAGGGCACATATTGTCCTCAGGGGAAGGGTCACACTCCTGTCACAACCCACTGACAGCACACACACACACACAGGCAGGCAGGCACACACACACTGTACAGTCTTGGTATCAGAGCCACTGTCTGCTTAGTGCTGGGGAGTCAAACATTGAAACGACACAGAACTGTTGGCTGCAGAAATACTGTAATAAAACTGTAACCTGTGTGTGTGCGTTCATATGTGTGTGTGCGTTTGTGTGTGTGTGTTCGTGTGTGTGTGTGCACACGTGAAAGGAAACACGCCTGGTTTGGAATGTGCCTGGCCTGGAATCTGGAAAAGAGGGCCCATAGGATTCACAGGAATCTGGAAAACAGGGCCCATAGGATTCACAGGAATCTGGAAAACAGGGCCCATAGGATTCACAGGAATCTGGAAAACAGGTCCTCTACCTGTTTTGTCCTCCTTCCTTCCTTTCCTTCCTTCCTTCCTTCCTTCCTTCCTTCCTTCCTTCCTTCCTTCCTTCCTTCCTTCCTTCCTTCCTTCCTTCCTTCCTTCCTTCCTTTTCTCCTTCTCTCCTTCCTTCCTTCCTTCTCTCCTTCCTTCCTTCCTTCTCTCCTTCCTACTTTCCTTTTCTGCAGAAAGGCTGTATAGCAGACCAACCCCTTCAGTACGACTTCACTACAGTCTGCAGTCAATCCCATAGTAAGCTCAAATTCTCTATACAAATGATGCAACACAAATTGTTGCCTGCAGGATAACAAGGAAACAGAATGTGTGTTTAGAGCCGTAGAGAGGTGGTTTTTGAAGCGTTGCTAAGCTGTAATAACAGCAGGAACATGATATATAACAACCCTCTCAACTCTGCTAACCAATAGGTCCCAACAGGCCTCAGCTGGTCTGGCCACATAGCTTCAGCTCAGCGTTTTGGGCTAGAGCCAGCCTTGGTCTGTCTTACAAAGGGTTCCATAGAAAAGCACGATCATTGATATGTTTTCCTCCTCATATAGTGTTCTTAGAACGCATGGAAACGTCTGCGTCTGTATTGTAGATGCACCACGTTTGCTGATTCCTTACGGTATAGAACTGCAAATCGCCTCGTTGCATCAATAGATGCCTGCTTTGATGCTAAGCATTGAATTTCTCTTCTTAATCTGATTATTACCACATCTCAATCTGTGTAGCGTGTGTATAGTGTCTATAGTGCACATCTCAATCTGCCAAACCTTCTGGCTAAATAGCACCTCTGATGGAAACAGGCTGCACCAGGAAGGCTGGGTGGGGGTGGGGGTGGGGGGGGGGGGGGAGAGAAATGGGGCTTGTTCTCTTTTGATCTCACTCTCCTCTCTCTCTCATTTCTCATCCTGTCATCATCCTTTTATCTTCTACTGTCTCTCTCTCTTTCTCCAACACTGCATTCTTCCTTTACCTCACTCTCCCTCTTTCTGAGTAAAGTGATAATACATCAGTTTTTATTTTGATCCTCGGGTCTACTGATGTGTCCTCTCTCCTCTCACAGCGCTACTGTGTATATAGTGGTGTGTATAGTGTGTATATAGTGGTGTATATAGTGGGGGTGTTAGTGTGTAAACGTGTGTAGTATATGTGGTTGTGTATAGTGTGTATAGAGTGATGTATATAGTGGTGTGTATAGTGTGTATATAGTGGTGTATATAGTGGTGTGTATAGTGTGTATATAGTGGTGTGATATAGTGGTGTGTATAGTGTGTATATAGTGGTGTGGTTAGTGTGTGTCTCGTGTGTCTTAGTGGTGTTTTACTCGTGGTGTGTATAGTGTGTATGGTGCTGTACTCTAGTGGTGTGTCTACGTGTGTATCTAGTGGTCTGTGTGGTGTGTCTCGTGTGTCATCTAGTGGTGTCATCTAGTGGTGTTTTCGTGTGTCTCGCGTGTGTCTCTCGTGTGTGTATAGTGTGTACAGTGTGTGTATAGTGTGTACAGTGTGTGTACAGTGTGTGTACAGTGTGTATATAGTGTGTGTATAGTGTGTATAGTGTGTATATAGTGTGTGTATAGTGTGTATAATGTGTACAGTGTGTGTATAGTGTGTACAGTGTGTACAGTGTGTATATAGTGTGTGTATAGTGTGTATATAGTGTGTGTATAGTGTGTATAGTGTGTACAGTGTGTTAGTGTGTGTATAGTGTGTACAGTGTGTGTATAGTGTGCGTATAGTGTGTACAGTGTGTGTATAGTGTGTATAGTGTGTGTATAGTGTGTGTATAGTGTGTACAGTGTGTGTACAGTGTGTGTATAGTGTGTACAGTGTGTGTATAGTGTGTGTATAGTGTGTATATAGTGTGTATATAGTGTGTATATAAGGCCAGATCAAGAGCAGGGTCAAAGCATTACCTAGCGGTTAAGAGCATTGGGCCAGTAACTGAAAGGTCGCTGGTTCGACTCCCTGAGCCGACTAGGTGAAAACTCTGTCAATGTGCCCTTGAGCAAGGCACTTAACCCTAATTGCTCCTTTAAGTCGCTCTGGGAAAGAGCTAAATGACTTAAACGCAAATGCATCATCTCCTCTCAGCCTGTGACAGATATCCTAATAATTGGAACAAATAGATGAAGTGATATAGAGATTAGGAATGAGTGATGCATGGCAGGGAGTGAGGGAAGTGAGAGGCAGAGAGAAACAGTGATGTAGTGAGGAAGAGGGGAGAGATATGAAATAGCCCTAATGCTGGCAAAAAGGGATAAGCTGTTTGACAAGCTGTGATTGGCTACAGCTCAGCAAATACATTATTAGCAGTTTGGGATATGCATTTAAATGAGTGTAATCCAAAATGAAGCTTATTGTGCCAATGGCATTATATGATGTACTGTTTTATATTTGTTTTATGTGTAATATAAGCGTCTTAATGTGTTTGGACCCCAGGAAGAGTAGCTTCTGCCTTGGCAGGAACTAATGGGGATCCATAATAAACCCCAAGAAGAGTAGCTGCTGCCTTGGCAGGAACTAATGGGGATCCATAATAAACCCCAAGAAGAGTAGCTGCTGCCTTGGCAGGAACTAATGGGGATCCATAATAAACCCCAGGAAGTGTAGCTGCTGCCTTGGCAGGAACTAATGGGGATCCATAATAAACCCCAGGAAGAGTAGCTGCTGCCTTGGCAGGAACTAATGGGGATCCATAATAAACCCCAGGAAGAGTAGCTGCTGCCTTAGCAGGAACTAATGGGGATCCATAATAAACCCCAGGAAGAGTAGCTGCTGCCTTAGCAGGAACTAATGGGGATCCATAATAAAATATAAATCGAATTCAGACTAATAGTGATTCCGCTGAACGATGGCATTTACACAATCTAGATAGTCCAGGTGAAGCAGGTTATCTTTTGCAAATGGTATATGGTCCCATATAATTAATGTGGAACGGAGGTGATGTACAAGGACTGGACCGTAGTTGAATAGGCTACTACAATAATAATTTGGGGAATAGCCTTGTGATTGAAAACAGTACACTGTAACAAATTGTTGTAAATTTACAGCAACACTTTCACAGTTAGCTACTGTAATTATATATGTTTCACAGTTAGCTACTGTAATTATATATTACAGTACTGTAAAGAGCAATGCATTATGGGGGTTCAATGGCGTTCCACTACACTGCTGTAAAATTGTACTATACAATTTTACAGTAAATACTGTATTACCCTGTATATTTACAGCAGCATACTGTGAATTATGGTGCATTGTGGGGAAATGTTGTGGGCAGCAAAATAATCTCTGGCTCATTAACTATTCCAGTGGATCTGCAAGTCTGCAAGTCAAGCATGTTTCATGGCTTTGTTGGCCCATGAATGCTCTTTGTCCCAGCCAATCGCTTTCTTATTGATTATGTTAAACTGATATGTTCAGTGTTTATTTAATTATGGGGACATGGACATGACAGTCTACTGGCCTTGAAAGTCACTACATTCTAAAAGGAAAACATAATATGTCATGCTTGAATGAGGAAATCAAAACAACCTAATTGACTGCATAAACGAGGTTAAGTGCTATAGGAAGCCATGCCCCCATCACTTCCATTGATTTTTAGCTAGCGCTGGCTAAAGTTAGCTGAAGTTTGTAATGGTTGTTTAAAGAAAACTGAACCATGGATTACAGTTACTCCTGGCCCATAGACTACTTTCAGGGTGAGGAACCGTCTAACATCAAGTTGAATTTTTTATTTTATTTTTATTTTTAGAGGAGTGAACTACTCCTTTAAACGTGCCTTTTTTCAAAGCTGAATTAAATGGCATTGAGGAAACAGAAAGGTGTCATGTTTTTGTTGCTGTTGCAAACATCCTTTCTGAAATTAAAAGTAATCATCTAGTTTTTCAAAAGCTTTTTAGGCTGTATACAGATTACATGCAATCAGTTACTCCCCAACCCTTTGACCAGAGGTAAGATAGTTCGGGTTCCCATGGGGGGCCGGTATGAAAAAAATAATGTATTCACTCACTAACTGTAAGTCGCTCTGGATAAGAGCGTCTGCTAAATGACTAAAATGTCAAATGTAAAAAATGGGTTGTGGACAAAAGAAGAGCTTGTGCTGGTCTTCTGAGGTGTGAAGAGGTCAATGTGTTAATTAAACAAAGATTTCATTTTGAACCTTTGGGCTTAAAAGGTTAATATCGACTAAGGTGATAGTCAACTTGCGTTAGGCTAAAGGTCAATGCTGCAAATGTCAATTAGCCTGCAACATTGTATGAGACAATGGATGTTAGTGCAAATAAATGTATTTTGAACACCTTTTTTTGTTGTTGCGACTTTGCCATAAGAAGTTGACGTAAGCTTGCTCATTATTGCAACCTACAATGAACAATTGCATTGCATTGATGACAGCCGACATCTATTAACTTATATTTTCTGTTCCTTTATTACAATGTAACATTGTAACCCATTGTTTACAATTACCAACAGACCACTGTGTAGAGTATTTGGTTTTTCTTGCAACATTGTGACAACAGCGGGAAACGGATTTTCCCCATCTCTGTCACAAAGGCCTTTGGAATCCCTTCAATGCATTGTTGTCAGAAAGTAGTAATATATTCAACTGCGGTTGCACATTTCGAAGGCATTGCCATTTCTATTTGTCAAGATGCACGGACAAATGTACCTTCGCATGCTTATCTAGAAGCCTTCCATCATAAAGGCCTTTGTTTGGGAAGAACATCTGAGCTCACCAATAACGAACCGCTCCCCGGTGCATTGACATATGGGATGCGGTTGGCTGCAAACGGCGCTCCCAGGAATGCGTCGTTACTTACCAGATTCGAGATCTTGCTGGTCGTACCATGGCTCTTCCTCATCGGTGACAAATTCATCCATACCTAGCATCGAGAAACGGATACCACCATCCGCCTTGTCCTGGAACCCAGCGAAGACTTGCCTACCAAACTGCTTCACAATCAGGCACACACGCAATTTCGCTGTCCGCCCGCCTCTGGAAAACGTGAGCTCATCTTTCTTCAGATTCTGACCGCCGCCGCCACACTCGAATGAGGAAAGAGCTGTGACGTTAACCGATGAAGCAGGCTAAACAAAATGTTTTTTTTTTCTTGGCAGCAAAATGATACATAAAGACAAGAGACTCGAACACTGTTTTAAAATCATCCAGTCTGAATTCACCAGTTATTGTTTCTTATAGACCCCTTTCCAGTACATCACACACTGACGTCACGCACAGATGCGCGCGACTCTTGGCTGCAGTAAGAAAGCCATCGCTATCTGTGCCCATTCAACAAAACCTAGATTTACGTTTATATTTATTCTAAACAAAATACGTTTTTTGAGTTCTCATACGCTTACAATGATGTTTTGATTCTTGCTTGAACAGTCGCTAAGATTATTTGGTTGTGATCTTTGCAAAATAACTATTTTGAATGCAGCAGTTGTTAGCTAGAATGCTAACGCTCATTGACATAGGCTGTAGCAAAAGCTAGCCAAAGAGCCATTTTACTGGTTGATGTTGAAGTGTAATGCAGTGTAATGCAGTTGATTTGCGACGATAACACAAACATTATATTAAGCAGGACATTCATACGAGCCTTAAAATCCAATTATAATCCAAAAGTAGTGTGAAATGCACTCCTAAGCAAAATGTAAATAGATGGGGTTTTTCGCCTTTGTTCTATAAGTTGGTGTTCTGTTACGAACTTGTGCGCATCTCCCTCATGCTGCAATGTTTGCAAACTCAGAAACGGGTTTGTAGGGGCTTTGTTTGGTCTAAAGTAAAACAGGGTTGTTGACACTTGTGTTTGTTTCTGTCTCTGTCACTCAGACCTCTCTCTCTCAATCCCCCGTCCCATCCTGTTCCAAGGACCGCTAAAGAGAGGCTGTGTAGTTTACAGACGTGGCAGATGTCGCAATAGTATCTTCCTCCTTTCCTAACGCTATTACAAACGGGGCAGAGCAGAGCGGATGATTTGACTATGCACAGCAGTTTTGAGATCGGAATTTTAACACCAACAGTTTTAAATGTAACACTTTCTTAGAAATTATATGTGACCATCTCAAAGTGTTCAACTAACACTTTTAAAAGTGTTGATAGACTAATACCCCAAGAGTGTGGGTCCCAAACACAGACTTAAATTAACACTTTATATGAGTTGATGCTGTTACACTTACTCCGTGTTAGGGAATTAACAACTGTGGTGTTACAGAAACTCATTTTGGGGTGTCGTTTTAACACTGTAGGGTGTAAAGCCTTATTTGCATATTTATTTCCCAGGGTGCCTTTCCAGTACATTTTAGGGTTACCAGTAACACCTATGACTGTGTTTGCTAGTCACAGAGCCTTAGCCTTGACCAAGTGAGTGCCCAAGTGAATATTTTATAATTGAAATAAAACTCTTAATGACAATACATTACATATATCATAAGGCCATACTCAATTTCAATCCCACTGGTGTTAACCCCACTAGAACCAACCCTCAGATATAACACTGGTGTTAACGCCACTAGAATCAACACTCAGATATAACACTGGGGTTAACCCCACTAGAACCAACCCTCAGATATAACACTGGTGTTAACCCCACTAGAATCAACAGATATAACACTGGTGTTAACCCCACTAGAATCAACACTCAGATATAACACTGGTGTTAACCCCACTAGAACCAACCCTCAGATATAACACTGGTGTTAACCCCACTAGAATCAACAGATATAACACTGGTGTTAACCCCACTAGAACCAACCCTCAGATATAACACTGGTGTTAACCCCACTAGAATCAACAGATATAACACTGGTGTTAACCCCACTAGAACCAACCCTCAGATATAACACTGGTGTTAACCCCACTAGAAACAACACTCAGATATAACACTGGTGTTAACCCCACTAGAATCAACAGATATAACACTGGTGTTAACCCCACTAGAAACAACACTCAGATATAACACTGGTGTTAACCCCACTAGAAACAACACTCAGATATAATACTGGTGTTAACCCCACTAGAACCAACCCTCAGATATAACACTAGTGTTAACCCCACTAGAATCAACACTCAGATATAACACTGGTGTTAACCCCACTAGAATCAACCCTCAGATATAACACTGGTGTTAACCCCACTAGAATCAACAGATATAACACTAGTGTTAACCCCACTAGAATCAACACTCAGATATAACACTGGTGTTAACCCCACTAGAATCAACCCTCAGATATAACACTGGTGTTAACCCCACTAGAATCAACAGATATAACACTAGTGTTAACCCCACTAGAATCAACACTCAGATATAACACTGGTGTTAACCCCACTAGAATCAACCCTCAGATATAACACTGGTGTTAACCCTACTAGAATCAACACTCAGATATAATACTGGTGTTAACCCCACTAGAATCAACACTCAGATATAACACTCACAACACTTTTTACCTCAACACTGAGATTTTAACACCCAGCAAATTTGCTGTCCGTATGGCGTTCACACTTTATTCTCCAAATGTGTTCCAGTGGAGGCAGCTGTGCTTGTAGATAAATTA